CTTATTTATAAACAATCGTGTCTGTTTATAAACAGTCATGCATGTTCGTAATTTTTATTTTAACCCATCATAAAAATAGAAATTATGCTTGTCTCTACACATTAATGCCCACACTTTACAATATATAAATTAAGGCCCCAAAACTTAAATTAATCACTTTAATTAGCCTAACTTTATTTGATAGCCAATAATTCACATTTATTTAATATATAAGCCCATATATTTAATTTTACTCCAACAGATAGAGGGCTCGAGTTGCGTTGCACATGTGAGTTTCATCTTATGACATGATTAGACATTATGGTATTCATTTATGAATTGTATATTTTTGAATGGATGATTGATTGATGAATTACATGTGAATATTTCATATACATCTGAGTTAGGAAGTAGTTTCCTTAGGAGATATCTTATTGAACGAGGCTCACCCTTTATAGTACAAAATTTTAGGTGTCGAACAAACGCTGGTGGACAGCCCTCACTTGGGCCCTTGTTGATGAAGAAGCCGAAATGTAGCTTTTGAATTACATCTTTGTAAATCAATTATGTAGTTTGTTTTGAACTTGTAAATTGTGTTAAGGGTACAGGTAATGGATTCTTATGGACTATATTTTGAGTGTAAATGAATACCATATAAGTTTGGATGAACTTGGAATGATATTGGGTGGTTAAAGGTTGATACTTGGAAAGATTTGGGAAAAATCTGGGCTCAAGTACCGGTACCTAAGTGATTAAGTATCAGTACCACACTGTCAGATGACCCAAGTACTAGTACCTAGACTTATAGGCACCAGTACTTGAATTCTAGTGGGCTTAGGTACCGGTACCAAGACAAATAAGTACCTGTACCTAAAAAATAATGGGCTCAGGTACTAGTACCTGGCAAACAGAAGGTCCAGGTACCAGTATCACGTATTAGAGGTACTGATATTACTTCCCAAAATTTAAAATAAACATTGAGAGACCTTCACTTTTTGAACGCTCCCCTTGGATGATGCTAATGGATAATAAAAAGCCCTAATTACTGGAGTTTGGAACTTGGAATGGTCATGTGATGGACATGTGTACAGGTTATGCATTGGGTAATGCTCCGTTACAAGAGAGACTCTGCCCAAAGTTTGTGTTGATTATGATTCCGGATAATTGGGTGTAACGACGTGGTATCGAGTTATACAGTACTCGCGTGTATACTTCTGCAGGTTGATGGGTGATCAACTGTTTGAGAAAGGAACCCTGGATTTTGGGGTGTCACACCAGTTCCTTCGAAAATGATAAGATCTTTGGCGCAAGAAGAAGGAGTTGACTCGTATCATCTTAACTTGGTTTTGCTTCATCTATTTTTTTTAAATACCAAGTCGGGTTATTCTCCTACCTGTATCGAATAAAATATGTTGATCCAAATCTTCTTAAATGTAAAACCTGTTTGATTTAGATTGAAAAAATCATATTGTTTTATGAAACCATGTTCTATGGCTTGAATCCGTGGTCAATCCTATTTTCGATAGGGACAGTTGACAATAGAATTCGATTTTTCTTATTAAATACGTACAATACTTTTGTGTTTAAAAGTCAAAGTTCTAATACAAGAAAATTGATTTATGTACTTTATTCAATACAAACTCTTTTTTTAGAATCCGCTATGAAAATGAGAAAGATTTCAGTATATATGCCCAAATCGATCAATAATATCAAAATATGATAAATTGGCCCGAACCGGCTTACTAATGGGATACTTTAATCCATTACAAAATTTCACTTTCACCAATGATCCAATCAGAGGAATCAATGGAACACTGATATCGAACTTCTTAACAACATTATCGATTAGAAATGCATTTTAAGCATTTGATTACGTACCATTAAAAGATTTAGTGGCACACTTGAAAAATAGCCCATAAAGTTAAGACCAAAATTGAAAAATTGGTTTAAATAGATTCTTCTTGGTTGGGACCACATGTAAAACTATCATTGCCAGAAATTGACAAGGTAATGTTTTCTTCTTGAGTGAAATCTGAGAGAAACTCATTCCTTAATGACTTTCGAGACTGGCTTGCTACGTACTAATTCTATGTACAATCGAGTTCTGAAATCAAAGCTTAAGAAAAGCAGGAGAAAAGAAGGAAGCTACATTTCAAGTCGGGATTGTAAGAGTAACTTCATTTTGAACTTCAAATCTTAAGCTTTACTTTCATTCCTTGCAAGCCCTTTGGGTGGTGGACCAGGGGCAGAGCCTGGTCCTCGTAGTTAGAGATCTGAGCTTGAATTCGTGTTGGGAAGGTGTTCTGCGGAACGAGGGGCTATCTATTTTCTTAGTTCAAGGTTGCTTTTACTAATTGGAATAAAAGAATAAGTAGATCTGTTATGCCTAAAATGGGAATGAACTAGGGTTGTGAACTTATGATCTATAATATGATGATCAAGTCGATTCCATGATTATAAGTTCATTCTACACCGGATTAAACCTGGGTAGAGTTGTATACATTCCCGTTATGAGAAGGGATCATTCGAGCGTATCTAAATAGATACTATGTTTACACATGGATCCCTATGCCATTCTTTCTATTTGTAATTAGGAATATGTATAATCAGACCAGATTTTTACATATCTCTCTTTAGTTGGCACCCTCTTTGAGCTTTTATTGAATCGAGAAATAGGTTAGATTGCCCTTTTTTTTAATAGATTTTATATCTAAATAAGACATACTCCGAATAATTCAAATTTAAGCAATTGGATGTCCAACTGGGGTCTATATGACATGACTGATCAAAAGGAACACTTCAATATTCCACCTTTGCCATATATTCCATACATTATACTAGATAGATGTCATATTCATGGAATATGATTCCCTTTCAAGATGTCTTGGTGGTGAAATGGTAGACACGTGAGATTCAAAATCTCATGCTAAAAGGCATGGAGGTTTGAATCCTCTTCAAGGCAAAAAATTGAGAATGCTGATTGAATGAGCAATTCAATAAGTGAGCTCGGATTGTCATTTAATTTAATTACACATAAAATTTATAATTTCGTAGATTTAAGAAAAAAATGTTATTTAAATTATTCTTCAAAAGCCCATTTGATGGTTTTAAATATACTCATTCAACAGTCACCAACATCCCTCTCAAAACTATTTACATTGCATCGTGTTTTCACAGTTTACCCCTAATATTAACTTATTAATGGGGTGAACTTAGTCATTAATGATATGAGTTTAATTATGAATTAATGGGTACATTATCATGTGTGGTTAGTCATTAAAAGGGTGTAAATAGAATGAGTGAGCTTAGTTATTAAAGAGTTGTGTATAGTATATGGTGAGTTTAGTTACTAATGAGGTAGATATAGAAAAGATTAACTTAGTAGTTTGATAATAAGAAATTAAATGAGATGAAAATGAATATTTGTGGTGTAGAAATAGTCCCACTACTAGTTTTTTTTTGGTCAAATATTTATATGGTTTTGTTCAAATTAGTTCCTACCCCCAAATTGCTACACTTCCAAAAAGTTTTAACCAACTAAATTTACTGAATTAAAATAAAGAGTAGTGTAATTTAAACCTAAAAATTTAGCATAATATTGTAATTTTATTGAAATTATTGGATTAATAATAATTTCAATATTTGATGGAAACCTATAATATATCCAAATGTAATAGTGAATTAAGTCAGCGAAAGTCCTTATGACATTGATTTAAAATGAATGATTGAGTGAGTAAAATCTAGTAAGAATTATACTCAGACCCCTTAAAATTTGTCATTTAATAATTACTCAGATTCCTTAATATTTAAAATATTATATATAGACATTTGACATTTAAAATATTACACACATATCCGCTACAGATTGTACGCACGTAATATTTAGATCCTTACCGTCAAATGTCGGTATATTCGTTAGTAAATTACACTCAGACTCCTAAAATTTGTAAGCGTATAATACTTAAACCTCTCAAGTTTAAAATGTGATATTTACAATCAAAAATAGAATATCAAATATTTTAAATTTTATAACTAAAATTCATTATCTATTGTATCATTTACTGAAATAAAAAAAAATTTAATTTTTTCTTAAAAAATCATAATTAGTATATAATTATACTATCTATTTGAATAAAACTAAAAAATCAAACAAGAGGCCTAAGCCATTTATAATAGAACATGAATTTTACAACTAAAATTTATGTTCTATTCTGTTATTTATTGAAATAAAATTAAAATAAAAATCTAATTTTTTTTAAAAAATTATAATTAATATAAAATTATACTATTTGTTGGAAAAAAACTAAAAAATCAAACAAGGGGTCAAATTATAATAAACATAATATATTCTAATTTTAATTAGGGTAATTTAGAATGACCAAATTAAATTCCAATAGATGATATAATTGTATAGTAATTATGATTTTTAAGAAAAAATTTGATTTTTATTTTTGATTTTATTTCAATAAATGTCGTAATAAAATATGAATTTTGATTATAAAATTTAAAATATTTGATATTCCATCTTTAATTGAAGTATTTTTAGTTTAAGTATAATATTTTAAATTTGAGGGATGCAAGTATTACACGCTACAAACTTCAAGAAAGCTGAATATAATTTACTAATGATAGGAGTTTAAGTGTTCTGCGTGTACAAACTTTAAAAGGTTTGTACGTAATATTTTAAATATTAAGATGTCTATATATAATATTTTAAATATTAGTCATGTAAATAAATGGTTAAATAACAAATATGGTGAGATATAGATGTAATTCCCCCTAAATTGTATTAACTTTCATAAATGAGACTTCATCCAATCATCTGACCAATCATCTGATTCGATTCACTAAATTATATTATCTTTTAGCTATACATCATTACAGTTCCTACAAATTCCTCACTTTGTTAGTTCTTGCTTCACTGTCCACTTGCAAATGCCAAATAACTGAATTTGGGTTCATCTCTCTCTCTCTCTCTAGGTTGTTGCATTTTCGTTTCCCTCTGCTCTTCAAAAATTCAAATGTCAGCGTCCACTGTTTCAATCACAGCGAACCCCGGAACGGCGAGGCGTAGGCCGGTGGAAAAATCCAAGCCGGGCATAGATTTCATTGGCACTGACAGAGTCGCCGCTGCTTCTGCGAGTAATAATAGAATCGCCGGCGGAGACATTGGGGTTGGGAAAGATCTAAGCGACTCGATTCGAAGCGAAACAGTCCTCGAGAGATCGAGAGAGCATGTCACGGTCCAGGTCAAGAAACCCTTGCCCAGTTCTGTAAACGGCACCGTATTGCCTCGCCGGAGTAACCGAAAGGTCGTGCCCAAGCCCGAGAGGCCCTGGTGGCAGACCGTGATTCGTGTTTTCAGCAAGAATTTCTTGGTTTTGCTGGTTGTTTCGGGTTTGATCCAGATGATTTATCGACTGGCTTCGACTTTGGGCAATGGTCCTGATGTTTCTTTTGTGGGTTCGGAAATCGAGGGTCGGATTGCGGAATTGGATGCATTTCTGCAGACGACAACGAAGATGATGCAGGTTCAGGTTGAGGCTGTGGATAGGAAAATGGAGAATAAAATAGGGGGTCTAAAAAGCGAATTGGGTAAGAAAATTGAGGATAAGGGATCAGAATTCGTGGCCGAGTTGAAGAAATTGGATGGCAGGACCGGGAATTTGGAGAAGTTTCTTGGTGAACTGAGAGCCACGGAGTGGTTAAGAAAACAAGATTTTGATGGGTTTTTTGAGGAGTTTAAGAAGGCAAAAGGGATCGATAGTGGTGGTGATGTGAGTTTGGATGAGGTGAGGGCTTTTGCTCGGGAGATAGTTGAGAAAGAAATAGAAAAGCGTGCTGCTGATGGGCTTGGGAGGGTGGATTATGCATTGGCCTCTGGTGGGGGCATGGTGGTGAAACACTCGGAGCCTTATGCTGGTGGGAAGGGAAGTGGTACTTGGTTTTGGCGTAATGGGGTTCTTCGAGATGCGGAGAAAATGCTGAGGCCAAGTTTTGGCGAGCCGGGTCAGTGTTTTCCTCTTAAAGGGAGTAGTGGGTTTGTGCAGATCAAGCTTAGGGCGGCCATCATACCAGAGGCTATAACTTTGGAGCATGTTGCCAAGGTTAGCTATGCCTAGTTTCCTTATTTGTTACTCCACATTTTATTTTTCTCATTACTACTATTTGTGGTTGTATATCTTCACATTGGAATTTTAGGACATGTTCCTTAGTCTACGTTTTAAGTTTTCATTTTGGTGATCTATGTGATTTTAGTGAAATCTGATGTTGGATTCATTTTTAGCCAAACTTCATCATGTAAACCTATAAGATATTAAGCTTAATCAGTGAACTTGAGCACCACAGTGAGTTGATTTTCATGGAATATTTGCATATTTTGTCTGACTGTTGCCCTTGATATCTTTCTGCCTGATTGCGTAAAAGGAAGGTAAAGGAAGAGAAGAAACACATAAAAAAGGAGATAGTAACGCACAAATTTTCCAGAGAGTAGCGATTGAGAAAACAAAACAGAATTCACAAATCAGTTGGAATTAGAACGCAGAGTAGTGTTGAGGATGAAGTAAGCGTTGAAAGAGTGATCACTGGTTTTTATTTTTGATAGCTTATACTCACCTCAATAGAGCCATAACCAGATTGGAAGGATCAGATTGGAGTTTCATTAATGAAAGAAAAACAAGTTGATTGGAGAGATCTTTTGAATTGGAGAAGTTAAATATGCTATTTTTGAGGGCTTAGGGCCAAGGGTCCCAGTATATTTTCCGTAAAAAAGAAAGAGTGTTGGTCTATATGGTTTCACAATAACAATTTTTGAAAATTGTTGGGATTTGGTGAAAGAGGATATAATGTGAGTTTTTCATTATTTTTTTCCACAGATTGGTTAGTGCAGTTACCAATTCTATGATTATTTATATAAGATTAATGACCCTATAAGATTATTGCAAAAGTTTTATCTATGAGAGCAAGAGAGGTCCTCAGTGATATTATTTTGGATTTACAAGGAGCTTTTGTTAAAGATCTTTCATCGTCTTCTCTTTTTTACTCTTATATCTGATGGTTTGAGTGGGCTAGTGATGTTGTTGAAAGATGAAACCTTGTGAATGGTTTGTAATAGGAATGGATGAGAATTGATTTCACACTTACAATTTGCTAATGACACTATACGTTGTCCTATTGGGATGAAGAAATATTTTTTAAATTTTGAAAAAAGTTGTTGATGTGTTTTGAGTAGTTTCAGGTTTAAAGGTCAATGTAGATTGTGAAGATGAGATTCCCAGGTTGGTTTAATTGTTGGTAGATTCTATGGTGTATTTGTGTCTTCCTTTGGGGGTAACCAATCATGGTTCAAAGTTGCGGTATCGGTTATCAACTTGGAGGGCACTGATACACATCGGTCGCGGCGTCGTTTTACATTATCGGGGCGATACGCTCAAAATGCTAGATAAAAGCTCTAAAAAAATTTGAAAAAATCATAAAAAAATGTTGAAAAATATAAACTTCATCATCCATGCATCATATGCCCACAATAAATCAAAAAACACATTAAACATAATTAAAATGAAACATAAGGGTGTTACTGAAAATATTGATCATTATCAATATTCAACTAATTGAAATTGAAATATTAATATTGATATATCTAATTATTATATTAGATTTAAAAAGTACCGATGTTTTTTAGGATTAAAAAATATTGATATTTTTTATTTTTAAAAAATATTGATGTATCTAATTATTATATTAAAAAATATTTGATATTCTATCTTTGTTTGAAGTATTTTTTGTCTAAGTATAATATTTTAAACTTAAAGGGCCTAAGTAATATATGTTTACAAACTTTAGGGGGGTCTGAAAATAATTTATTAACGGATATATTTACAGCAGGGTCTATCTGTTTCGCTTGTACAAACTTTAGGGGTTTGTATATAATATTTCAAATATTAAGGGTTTAAATGATTAAGTGATAAACTTTAAGGGGTGTGAGTGTAATTCTCCAAAAAAAATTGATTCACCGACAACAAAGTCTTTTATAACTCTGTTTGAGAGTCGGTCTTTTAGAGCTCAATCTTCAGACGCTGTGTATGGAGAGAGAGAGAGAGTGGTTCGATACGCTGTGTATCAACGATCATTGGAAGATTGGTTTGCGACTACTTCTCTATCGATCGCGACTAGCTCGCAGCAAAGAAGATCAGGAAAAAAAATAGAAAAAGAAGAAGAAGATAAAGCGGTATGGGGATCTCTTTGATCTGTATTCAATTCTACAGGTATGTCATACAAATGCTTATAATCTCTGTGGTAGTGGGCCTTTGATTTTCGGACTGGTTGAGGGCCTTTTACAGATGTGAGTCTTGAATTCTTCATCTTTTTCTTTTTTATTTTGGATTCTTGCTATTTGTTGAAGATTTTGGAGATTTTCCACAAGATTCGATCATACTGGACCGACCCCGCTATGAATCGTCCGATTCATACCGAGTTGCTCCGATTTGTGCCAATACGTCCGAGTCTGACTGAGATATCGCCGAGTCAAGTGAAAATTGGGATTTTTGCATAACGGGTATTGATATCGGATCGGTAGGGGCCGAGTCGGATACGACTCGGCCCAGTCATATCGGACTCGGCCGATACTTTGAACCATGTAACCAATGGTCTTTGTTTTTGGGATCCAATTATTGAGAAAGTTAGAAAACGGTTGGATTTATTTCAAAAAGGAGGAGATTAACGTTAGTTCAATTTGTAATGTGTAGTATTCTCAGGTATGTTCTATTTCTTTTTCACGTCTGGAAAGGTAACAATGAAGATTGAATGGGTAAAGAGGATTTCTTGGGGGAAGGAATTGGTGTGGTAAAGAATGATCATTTGATAAGTTGGGAGGTGATCTTAACTCAACAAAGCCTTGTCCCAACTTTTTTTTGGGTCAGTTTTATGAATTTTGTTTCGCTATTGTGCTTTATTAATGGTCATGCTTTCCGTATTCTCAAGTATGAGTTGGGAGGTGATCTCCAAATCTAAAATTAAGGGTGGTCTCTCAATTGGAAGTTCGTTGGCAAGAAATACAACTATAGTTAGAAAATGACTATAGAGTTTTCTTTGAAGCATTATTCACTAATATGCTTGGTTGTCAACAGAAATATGGATTCCAAGGTAATGGAGATGCTAATAGTGTTTAAAGGTGAAGTTTTCGGTGCATATGAAAATTCATCTTGCAGGGATTACCTTGATTTTTACAAAAATGCTAGATTAGTTGTGGGTAATGGGGACAGAGTCCGACTTTGGAAGGATGTTTATGTATGGACTATGGACTCTTTGCTTTCATGGATTTTCCTTGTCTGTATCACGCCTCTTGTATTAATGATGCTTCTTGTGCTTCATGATCTGCCCTAATTCTCATTTACTTTCTTGAGTTTTTGGGTTTCTTAGAAATCTAGGTGATAGAGATATTTTTGATTCGGTTTCAGTTCTCTCCATTATTAATGACTTTTATTTGGAACATGGGCATTTGATAAAAGACGTTGGGCAGTTGATTCTTTGAAGGGAGTCTACTTCCGATATAGCAAGAGGTTGGAAAAAAATACCAGCTAGCTTCTTATTCAACTCGTTCTTGGTACAGAACCCGAGAATCCAATAGAAACCTCATTCCATGCCTGGACCCATTTTAACAACTCTATCAGATTCATAATAACTACTACACCCTTGTCACAAGTCCCAACATTAATCTTCACTCTCTCTACTGAACTCTATCCTGCAATGAATACTTCTTTGGATCAAGATTTCCTGCGTCCTCTCCTTAATTCCCTCTTGTTGTTGGGAATCTGTTATGGCCTTGAATCGGACCTTTTCAACTCGGATAGCTGTTGGCCGTGAGATTGCTTAGATTTTTAACTCTGCTTCACCCTCTGTTCTGGATAAAGCTTCTGCAGCTGAATTTTCTTGCCCCTTTAGATTCAATCACAAAAATCATATCTCATTAGCTTTAACAAGAACTTACGCTGTGCCGTGAGTTGAAAATTTTCTTCAATAGAAATCTAAGGCTTATTTGACTTGTTTGAATTACGAATGGACGACATTATAAGCAAGGCCTCCACTTGTGCACTACTGCCACCAACGCTAACAACTTTTTCATGAGTTGAGAACCAGATTCTTGCCATGCAAAGGCTGACTAAAATATGCAGTGGGGTGTTCATCTTGCACTAATACACCTACTCTAATACCTGAAGTGTCGTTTTCACCCACAGATGGTTTAGTAAAGTTAGGAGGAGCTGAAACTGGGGCTTGTGTCATTACTGTCTCAAGAGTATTAAAGACTCATTCAGCACTAGGTGACCAAGACCAAGCCTTCTTCTTGAGCAACGAGACCCAAAAAATCCTCTCAAAGCTCTTGGTGTAGCTGCAGAATTTCCAATGCACTCTTCTAGGCTGTTTGAATCAGCTAATCAACACGACCGGCTTTCTGAATCATGAAATTCTACCATTATGGACTGTGACTCTGCTTATATCATCTGGGCATTACATGTGGGTCAAAAAAGTTGTGAATTTTTGAAGTCAGTTTGGCCCATAATTATTCTGTTCATGAGCGAAATGTATTATATTATATTTCCTTTAACCATAATTTGGCCTTTATGAACTTGAGTGTTTGATTCACATTGACTATCAACGACTTGGGTGTCACTGGAATTTTAAATGGTGAAATTCCTATTTTAGATGAGCCGAACCAATTGGGACGAACTAAAAGAGCTATACATTGTAGACTTAACTGTGCACATCACTGAGACAGGTTTTAGGGAGGCATGCTGGAGTGAATGAAGAAATATAACATGAATGTAATTGTAAGAAAATGGAAAGGTACCAGTTCTTATTAAGTTGTATAGTCTGAGCAGAATGGCAACTCCCATCCTTTGAGACCGGACTTTTGACTTTTTGCATGAATTATTTTAACCTTCCGTTATTAGTGTACGTATCAGAGTAATAGTTTTTTGAATGATAAAAAAAGAACGAGGGGAAGATAGACTAAATCTTTTTAAATAATTTCTGTGGTCTATTCTTTACCATATGTGAAGAAGATGAGGATTGTATCTTTCAACACTCAAATAGAAGTATGCATGATTATCTATGAACTATCGGGGCACAATGTACATGCATGTTGATTCATTTCCATTGATTTGTAGAAGGTTTTACAAGTCAAAAGGATAAAGTAAAATATGGTAGAAATTTATTCTCCTTCAAAGATAATCTCGTTTTAATTTTGGATGCCTCAAAGAGTTGGAGATACAATTTGACACTATTGAGTATTTCAACTCTTCAGTAAGGATTTGAATGTTATGTTGACATTCAGTAAGGGTGTGTTTGTTTGCCGGATAGCATATCCTGGTATTGGGAATTGCTATCCATACCAAACCAATCCAAAGGGAGATTAGTACTGGTTTTAAATACAAATCCAATACCATCTCTTGTTTGTGTGAGGATCAATGGCTTAAGTGGGACCTACCACAAAAGTATATGTTTAGGTGACTATTTGCAAGCAAAAAGACAGTTCTATTCTTATTCCTTATTCCATTCCATTCTATGGCATTGTTTGTTTAAGGAATCACTTTACCTTATAATTCATTCCCTTATGTATCCATAAGTCACTGTATATTCGGTCTTTCTCCCCGAAGGGTAACCACTACATAGCATAACAAACATAATATCCACAGTCCATTTTTGACATGGCCAAGACTTACTACACTGGTGCTTCTTCCTACTTAATCTATATTATGATGTAATTAACCATTTATTAATAAGTAAAGTATCAACATTCCTATGGAGGTACACTACCCAACATTACCCAAAAAATGATAAAGACTTAGTTGTTGCATTCACTATATTCATACAAAAATCCAGTAACCACCAAAAGCACCCAAAACATGGGGCTGCACATATTAAACTACATGGCTACCCTTCCACTGAAATTACAAAACATGGGGCCTGTACATGTTCAACCACCCACAAGCACACGAGTTAAATTCACAAAATTATGGCTTGTGGGAACATCCCCAAAACAGGTTGGCCATATTCATCATGCAATACCATTAATATAAATAGGTCATAAAAGTTTGAGACATAGGTTAATCGTCTAACCTCTTTCTTGATTTTGAATGGGGCTAGGGAGGAGTCAACGCTCTCGGAAATGTCGCTGGAACTGTCGGATGATGGGTCGAATATTTCCTTCAAAGTGTCAAATAGAGGGCATAGTTTTGTGCAGTACTTCCTTGCAAACCTGTTTTTATGCATGCATCCCACACACAAACATGAATAAATACATAGCATGACAATTTTAATTCACCCATATTTTTAAACCAAAATAGAAGTATAGCAAATAACACATTCCTTCAAATATATATCACCCCCATGGAAAGGACCATCAACCACTTTCTTTAAATTGTCATCCCATGCAAACTTTCATGTCTTCAGCAGGGTAAGTATAGTATAGTAGGACTCTGCTTAATAGTAAACAAATATTTTCTCAAAAACAAGTTTGCAATATTACCCTCAAGTATTGTTCCCAAACATCACCAGACTGGACATCAATTCTGTTGTCAGTGTCATTAAAACCAAATCCACTAGTGTTAATCATAGATAGTATACAGTATTACTGTCTCTTCCACATTTTGATCTTCGATTCTATGTCTGGCGTAGCATGTAGGGTATTGTTAACGCAACGCATCCCCCAGTTTGTGCTCTAAAATTTGCAAGTATGCAGGCCTAAATGTGCAATTAGGGCATTTCAAATTGGCTGCATACTGATCTTTCAATGCATATATTAGTTGTGCCTCTTTAACACTAGTCTATATTCGCCTAGTACCTTTTCAAGCTTGAATGCCACTCATAGTTTGTGAACTACCAACAATAGCCATCCTACACTGTATACATCAAGATTCAATAGATTATATGAAATGAAACACCTCCAAATTCATTACATTACTGACTATTACTAATAGCATAAATACCATACACATCACAATGTCATAGCATATTACCACATCTAAAATCTAACATTTGCGTACTTTAAATTCCCAATCAAATAATCTTACAAGTTCATCTACTCATCCTCGTTTCATTATACGTTTCATTTGCTAATTGATAATTGATTCCTCCAACCGGTCCACTAATTAGATGTGTCAACAGTATCGATTGCATTTGTATTGTCATCAGCGTCATTGACAACATATTCTGGTAAGCACTCTTCTAATGGGTCAACTGCCATCTGCATGCTAATGAAATTATGTAACACATAACACATTGCAATAATTTGGTTGTGTGTGGGAACTGGGTAGAAGCACGGTGTTCAAAGTATTGCCTATCGCATTTTGAGAAGAGCAAAACATCTCTCAATAAAGTTCCCCAAACGGAGGAGTGTTTTAGATTGAAATATTCCTTGGCATTTCATGGAGTTGCCCTTCCGCTCCCGAATTCATCAAGATGATATCTCTGACCCCTAAAAAGAGCTAGAAAACTTTTGCCATTGGTGTATCTAGCATCATATAAGTAATATGTGCTGTTGTAATCATTTCATATATCCATCAGATTACAATCAGTACTTTTAGGACAAAACTCAATTACTTAAGAATATCGACTTTGTATCTTACCCCTCCCAACCTTTAACCCAATCTGTCTTGTAACTGCGTCACGAAGCACTTTTAAATCGGTCGCAGATCCCTCCCAACCGGGCAGAATATATATGAATTCCATGTCAGGTGCACATAACCTTAACACATTTGTTGCAACTTAACTCTTTCTTGTCCTATATCTTGTTTGGTGCACTAGTGGCACTCTAGGTCTAATGTGAGTGCCATCTAAAGCCCCAACACAACTCTAAAAAATATAAATAAACAAATATCAACTTAAAACTTAATAAACCAAGCCTACTTCACGACACAAATTACAATTGGATTTACATTGAAATACCTTAAACCACTTGCACGTATGATCAGTGCACTCTTCCATATTGTTTGAGGGGCTTGTAGCCACAATTGACATAGTTTAAGCATTGCCAATAACACTGTATTAAAATACTTACTAACTAACTGTCTCACCAGACCTAATGAAATTTAATTTTATTGGTCTATTCTTCTCATCTTGTCTAATGATGCTCAAGAACATAGCAACCATTTCTTCCACGCTAATGTTCCTTGTACGATTTGGCCCACCAACTTGTTCAATTAGAATACACAATCTAGCAAAACATCCCCTATCCATCCTAAGTTGATTGTAGTAGGCTATATCGCTTTCACCTATCAATCTATTCAAATGTTCTATTTGCATTCTAGTTCGGGTGATTGAGCATGGGATCCTACGGTTGGTCTCGAATTCATCCATTTCCAACAAACTAGTAGTCTCAACAATGATAAATGAGCATATCATAACTATATTAGTAAGCACACTATCCAACACAACTACCAATGGCACACTGAGATTGTTTCCTTCGGCCATTACAACTGCGAGTTAAACGCAAAGTTAGCATTTGAATAATTTAATGTTTTGTTTTTTTAAAAACATTTTGTAAACAAATTTATTACCATGTATATAGTGGCCAAGCATGTAAACAAATTTACTCAAAAAAACACATGCACCACTCCATTTGCTTGTTGCACAGATTCATACATCAAGTCATACCAAAATAACATATTCCATTTTGGTTTTCATTATTTATAATCCTTTGCCTACTATTTTAATATAACCCCCAACATCCACACAAACGTGTATAACATATTGCAACTCAGTAACAACAATCATGAATAACATAATGCAAATCAGTAACAAAGACATCAAAATATAGGCATGTGTACTTGAATTGAGAACGTGTGAGGGATGAGGAGAGAGAGTGAGCTCAGAGAGGATACTTGAGTGGAGAACGGAGGCAACCGATGAACCAGTGCCGATTGATGCAACCGATGTAAGCTATACAAAATTCAAATCCAAAAATAGAAACATCAATCACACTCCAGACTAAAATCGATCGATGGGGGGTTGTGGGTTTACTATGAAATGGGTGTGAGAAATGACGAGAGACAGACAGGTGGGAGAGGTTACCTGCATGGAGAACGGGAGGCTGATGGACAGAAGAGGGTTCATTTGTTCAGCTGTGCCTAGGGTTAGAGTGAGATTGAATGGTTTTTATATGAGGGATATGTGGGAAGGGGTATTACAGTCCATTAAGGCCCTAATACTATCTGTGGCCCTTAACCTGCCTGATAATACCACCTCCTAGGTGGTATTATATGTCGGCATGTACATGGGTTTAGAGCAACTGTAGTTGTTGGGTCAAGATATAGATCCGAAAATTAGTACAGAGTTTAAATTGTAAAATAACCAAGGTATAAGTGGGCCCCATGTACTAATTTACTCTATCCCACCTCCTAATACCCCACCTATCCGGCAACACACACACCCTAGAGGTTCTATTTGTCACTTTAATCTGAAAGCCACGGCAGAAATACTGAACTATGGCTCAACTGTGTCTCTACTCTGCTTTCCTCCAAGTGTGATCTTGTGGATTTGTCAATTTGTCACTCTGCTGTGATTATGTCTTGCAATTCAATTTGGAAAACATTGATGCACGTTGCAAAGTAGCAGTGGCTCTATTTGGGTTGTGGTTGCCTGTTAAGGGTGCCATGCTGCTATGAAGGGGTCGCAGGTCAATGCCCACTCTACTCGATGCTGTGCTCCTTGTTTTGCTTCTGTCTTTTATACATAATTTTTTTTTTATTTTGTAATCATGGATTGGTTGATCAAAGACCCTAAATGGTGTACATATTTTTTTGGGCGTTTTAGTTGCTGATTTCAGTATGCCTAACCATGTTTAGGATAAGCATGGGCCTTTCCTCCCAGTTTGTTTATGTAATACTGTACATTCACTTCTCTGGCTCTTGTTTGTTGTATTAATTGTTTAACGCTTCCAATAGTTGCATTTGCATTCAGCATGTTTTCACAACCTCACGGTTGGACTATATTGAACCATAGGTTTTCCAGTTTTGCTGTCCTTTGCTCATTTTAGGTTAAAGTTATAATGGTTTGTGCTTCTCAAACATATCCAGTTACTAAAATAACTTCTTGTTTGTATAATGAGCAGAGCGTTGCTTATGACAGGTTGAGCGCTCCCAAGCACTGTAGAGTCTTTGGCTGGCTCCAAGGGCATGATACAACTGATCTAGCAGTTGATACTGATAGGATGATTCTTTTGTCAGAATTTACTTACGACCTTGAGAAGAGTAATGCTCAGACTTTCAAAGCATTGGACTTGGCAGGCTCTGGTGTTGTTGATATGATCAAGTTTGATTTCACATCCAACCATGGGAGCCCTTCTCATACTTGCATCTATCGCTTGAGGGTGCATGGTCATGAACCCACCTCTCTCTCAATGCAAGCAATGCAATCTTGATGTGGCCATGTGCTGATTGCACAGGCATTCCTCTTGTTCTATAGTTCTGTTTCTTCTCTTCTCTTTTCTTTTTCTTTGATATTTTTTTTTGTTAGGGTTCTCTTGTAGTTTAATTATGAATTGACTGATCGGGTACTTGTAATTTTAGATGCTTCTACATCTCGTTGTCTTTGTTTTAAATATTTTTGTGTGCCTGGTGTTCGGTATAGGTCTCCGATCTCAATTTTATTTGCAATTGCGATCCAGAATTTTATTATGTTTCCATTTAATTACTCAAGTTCATCAAAATCTTTGGAAACCAAGGATTTTGAGAAAGTTCCCTTATTGGTACTGTTGAAAATTTGGAATGCTTCATGTGACATATGAAGAGGCTTCTTGTTCCTAATAGTGCCATGAACTACTTATGCCTTTTGATTTTGGTTTATGGTTGGACGATTTTGGTTTATAATTATTGGCAGAACACAATGGAAGAACAAGATTTTAAAATTCATGAAATTAATCCTCACATGTTTGGAATAAAGCTTTATTTGGGTAGTATGTCATAGAATCACAGGTGGAAACGAGGGAGGAAGAAATACATGGTACAAGGGCACGTTCGAATCTCATTTATGGACATGCTTTTTCTGTAACACAACCTTTATCCGTGCATAACGATTAAGGATGATCCAACACTGCTTAGGCAGCTATATTCTTTCTACGACCTAAAACCTTTGTTAGCAAATGGTACTACAGCAAACACAAGTGCTACAGCTATAGGAAAAGCTAAAAGAGGAATAAAATTTGGAAAACGAACAAAATAAATTGTCCCCCTTGAAATCACTCATCTTTTGCGCTCTCATCAGTTGTCGTCTCCATAAATTCCTGCCAAACTGATAGGAATTCACTTTGATGATAGATTAAGTTTCTTCGTCATAATCCTCGTCCTCATCCAACATTGAATTAAGGTGTGCAAGATGAAGCGGGTCAATGGCCATCCTGTCTACTTTTCACCTTTTGCTTCGGTAGGCGTTGACGATGAGGTACAGGCTACTGCTGGAGTAGCTGTTTTATCTGCATTCCCATCTAAGCCGGCATTCAGATCAAACTTTGGTCCTGCTAAATTGGTCTCGTTGCTGATTTTTGTTCTATCTTTTAACAATTCCTTCGACTCTAAACCATTATCGATTGGTTTTCCAGGGCCCAGACTTTGCTGGCTAGTGTGCTGAATGGGTGTGCACTCCCCTACCACTGCTGCTTTTGTGGCACATCTCGTACTGCAGTCAACGACACAATTTCTTTTCAATAATGCTATCTGAATCAAAACAGTAGCAATCTATGCTTTTGTGCTATCATTTAACAAACATAAACGATCATACCAAGTTATCCTTGCAAAAATATATGTGGAGTATACATCTATTTATTTCTATATGTAACAAGCAAATCATGGGGGAGAGGGGAAGCTTTCCCTCCTCATTTGCTTAATTATCCTAATTTTGATATTATAAATAAAAATCAAAGTTTTTCCCGATCAAAATCTTCTTCGTGATGTCTATAACCACTTTCCCATCTTCAACTTTCCACTTCTGCTTCTCTTTCAACTTTTCATTGTCATCCTCTTCTCTTTCTGAAACCACTAGACAAAGTAAACGGATTGGGGGAGGAGAGATGATAGCATACAAGGATCCTGTGAGAAATTGATTCACTTCAAGGGAATCGTCCTCCAACTTTTATTAAAATTCTTCCTCCCAAAAACAATGTTCAAGAAGATATAAATAGAATAGACCTTCTAACTAGACTTCTACTACTAACTAAACTCCTTGCCAATTACAACTCTTGCCTCAATAAACTCCCAATCTGACCCAACTATTCATAATTTTTATCCATACAACTAATTTAGGATAGAAGTCCCAAAACTAAATCAAGAATAAAAATCTGCAGTGCAGGTGGCAGGTCATACGAATGAGTTGCCTAACATTCACCCCTCCTTGAAATCCCCACTTGTCCTCAAGTTGGAAAAGCTGGAAAACGAGTGACAAAGTCTGAATAATCCTCCCAAGTTGCATCAGCACCAGAAAATCCAGTCCACTGGACAAGAAGGCGTGTAACTGGCCTGTTGTTGCGCTTAAACAACCCACGATCCAGAATGCGAAGTGGCTGCCACGTAGTAACACCACTATCAGAAATGGGAGGGAGCTGTGGAGCAGGTTGCACCATTTCTCCAAGTTTCTTTTTGAGGCAAGAAACGTGAAAGACTAGATGGATTTGTAAGCGACTTCTCCAATGTGTGAAAGAACACAAAAAGGTCCATAAAATTGTGGTGAGAGCTTATGTGGCCCGCAGGGACCCAAGGAAATTTGTCGATATGGCTGAAGTCGGAGAAAAACCCAATCTCCCACACTAAAAGAGCGTTTGGTTCGATGACGGTCAGCAACATATTTCATGTGAGACTAGGCAGCAGTTAAATTTTCTTTTAGTAGTCGCAATATATTATCACGATCACGCAAGGTAACATCTACAACATGAACAACAGTAGTATGGGGAAGGTATGCAGCAATGGGCAATGGAGGCCGACCATAAACTGCTTGAAAAGGCGTCATTTTCAATAAAGATTGAAAGGAAGTGTTATACCACCATTCAGCCCATGGTAGCCACTTTGTCCAACTGGAAGGTTGTTGGCTTGCAAAGCAATGCAAATAAGCCTCAAGGGATCGGTTAACAGCTTCAGTTTGCCCGTCGGATTGGGAGTGGTAAGACAAAGACTAGTGCCCTACAATTCAAAAAATGCTTCCCAAAACTGACTCGTGAAAACAGGGTCTCGATCACTAACAATAGATTTAGGCATCCCATGTAAACGTGCAATTTCTCGAACAAAAATTTCAGCCACCGTAGTTGCTGTATAAGGATGCACAAGTGCGCAAAAGTGGGTATATTTGGATAGTTGATCAACTACAACCATAATAGAAGTTTTGTGAAATGAAGGAGGTAACCCATCAATGAAATCCATTGAAATATCAGTCCACACTTCCTCCGGAATTGGTAGAGGTTATAGCAGCCCAGGTGGACAGATACTTTCAGATTTATTTTGTTGGCAAACATCGCACTCGGCAACAAACTTCTTAATAGCCCTTTTGAGACCCTTCCAATAAAAATTGTGTTGGATGCGCTTATAAGTCCGTAAGAACCTGGAATGACCACCAATTTGGGAAGCATGGAATTCCCACAGAATTTTGGGACACCAAGGAGAAGAAGAGGAAACCACCACTCGGTCTTTATAACATAAAACACCATCACGAAGAGAATAACCTGAATCTGTAGACATACCTTGTCGTAATCGAGTAAGAATAGGGGACAAGGAAAGATCAGTCAAACATTCAGCAGTGATCTTAGTAATGGCCGAAAATATAGGGGAAGAAATAGCATGTAAGGTAGATTCTTCAGCTTGCCTGGATAAAGCATCTGCAGCTCGATTTTCTGCCCCTTTTTGAAACACTATTGTATAATCATACCCCAACAGCTTGGTAACCCACTTTTGTTGCTCAAGTGAGGAAACCCGTTGATCCATAAAAATTTTTAAACTTTTATGATCAGTAAGAATTGTGAAGTGGCGACCTAATAAATATGGTCGCCATTTGTTCACCGCAAAGACTATGGCAAGCATTTCTTTATCATAGACCGAGAGATTTAAATTTTTCCCAGAAAGAGCTTTACTAACAAAGGCTAAGGGTCGCCCTTGTTGCATAAGAATGACACCAATTCCACTATCCGAAGCATCGCATTCTAGAACAAATTCTTGAGAGAAATCGGGCAACGCTAACACTGGTGTGGTTGTCATAGCATGCTTTAATTTCTCAAAAGCAATTTCTGCATCCGAGCACCATCCAAAAGAGACTTTTTTGAGCATGTGAGTTAGGGTGCTGCAATTTGACCATAATTTTGCACAAATTTTCTATAGTAGCCAGTGAGCCCCAAAAAACCTCGTAGAGTCTTAAGAGTATTGGGTTTAGGCCACTCAATCATGCAGCAAATTTTCTCGGGATCCACCATAACCCCTTCTCTAGAAATAATATGGCCAAGATAGTCCATAGATGACTTGGAAAAAGAACACTTGGACTGTTTAGCATATAGTTGATTCTGGCGCAAGCATTGTAACACTAATGACAAATGTTCCATATGGTCTTGTACAGATTTGCTATAGACTAGTATATCATCAAAGAATACAAGGACAAACCTCCTTAAGTAAGGCCGAAATATATCATTCATCAAACTTTGAAAGGTGGATGGTGCATTAGAAAGCCCAAAAGGCATGACAAGAAATTCATAGTGGCCATCATGAATGCGAAATGCAGTCTTTGGAATATCTGGTGCATGAATACGAATTTGATGATAACCGGAACGAAGATCCAACTTAGAAAAAATCACAGCACCATGCAGCTCATCTAGAAGCTCATCAATGACTGGAATAGGAAAGCTATCCTTCATTGTAATACTATTAAGGGAGCTATAGTCCACGCACAACTGCCAAGAACCATCTTTTTTCTGCACTAGTAGCACTGGGGATGAATAAGGACTAATACTCGGTCGAACCAAGCCAGTAGCCAACATTTCTTTAACCAATCTCTCGATCTCATCCTTTTGAAAATAAGGATAACGGTATGGTCGGGCATTGGTTGGAACACTACCTGGAATCAGTGGAATACGATGGTCTTGAGTTCGTGTAGGGGGGAGTCCCTTAGGGTCACCGAACACATCCCTAAAATGGTCAAGAATATGGCTGATTTCAGGAGAAACCTCCATCTCCATTACAACAACGTTTGCAGCCACCAATTGTAACAAGAATACACAGTCAGTTTGGAGCCTCAACCTGTGAAGTTCGCCTTGATCAACAACAGTGTTGATTGAGGATCTATTGCCTACTAACTTGAACTCTTGGCCATCCAGAATAAACTTTATAATTAATTTAGAAAAGCCTCAAGTAATGGCGCCTAAGGAACGAAACCAAGCAGCCCCTATGACAATATCACATCCACTCATCGGTAATAAGAAAAAAATCAGATTTGAAGCAATAACCTTGCAAATTTAGGCCAACTCCATTACACTTACCATGACTATGAAGAATTCCACCGTTGGCAATGGTTATGCGAATCAGGGTAGTGTTGTGCACAAGATAACCACAACGTCAAGCTAGAGAAGGATGTAGAAAATTATGGGTTGAACTAGAGTCAACCAACACTGTAACA